ATATACATCATATACATATACATCATATACATATACATCATATACATGTATGTATACATATACAACATATACATATGCACATGTATACATATACATCATATACATATACATCATATGTATACATATACATTAACAAGAACTGTGTGTTGCTATGCTGTGGGAAGAGTAGTGGAACAGCCTTACATTGGTGAGCACTATTAGGAGACAAGGCAGTCGCACATGTGGCATGAAGCATCCGAGAGGCTTGTCCCCACCCCAAGCAAGCATTTAGTTTTGGCAGAATGGAGGATGCTTAAACAGGTTAAAAATAGCTCACTTGAATTTTCACCTCCTAGGCAGTGCTAATCCAGCGCAGGCTGTTGTTGACAGCATTGGCGACACCATCTGTGGAAACTGCAGAACCAGAGTTCTTAGGGGACCAAGGAGTACCATTCCTCAGCCCCTTGCAAGCTGGGGAGCTAGTGAAGGAGAAAGGGAACCAGGCGGCAGATGGAGGCATCTGCATCCTAGAGGAGGAACAGGCCGAAGAGACAGGAAAAGCCAAAGAGCGGAGCTTACACTTGATAGGACTCACTGCTCAGACCCCTGAATTAGAATTCATTAAAAACATCAATGGGCTGCACAGCTAGTTCTTGCTAAAGTGTATCTGTGTGTACCACGCCCTAATGTTCTAAGTGTGTTGTGGGTGGTCTCCTGATGGAGGCCCGACACAAGCTCACCCACAATGGAGATAGTAAGGATTAGAGATGCCCACGGCTAGCTCTTCCCCAGCCGAGACCTGCCTGGAGAGGAACCTTTGAACCCCCAGCCTCTGTTTATCCCCAGAGCTCTGTGCAGGCGCTGGCCCCCACCCTCCCAAAAAAGAAGAAAGAAAAAAAACAAAAGTGCCACTTGTTTTATCACAGTAAATTTCCCTCAATTTCCCATTACAGTGCGGTGGTTTGGATAGAGAGAAGTGAATTCATCCAAACCATGCATAGGAAATAAAATTCATCCGATCTTCTGATGTGGATGAAGATTAGCACTAGGAAAATCTTGTGATCTCTCTCTCTCTCTCTCTCTCTCTCTCTCTCTCTCTCTCTCTCTCTCTCTCTCAATCTGTGTGTGTGTGTGTGTGTTGCATACCTGTGAAACTCAAAGGTTGACAGCCAGCAAAGTATATTTTCTATGGGTGCCGGAGTCTGAACTCAGGGCCCTAAACCTAATGCTTTCCCGTGGCCCAGACTTCTCTCTCGTCTTCCTCGTTATGGCAGGATCGGTAGGTGTAGCAGAGAAGCAAATAAGCAGGCCTGCTATCAAATTATGTTTTTCTTGAGCAAGCACAATGGAAAATTCTCCCAGGCTTTCTTTTGCTTTGAGCCTGACAAATGTCAGTTTTTCCTTACTGACTATTATGCTGTGGGATTAATTATTTAATTGACACAGTGTGCCTCCTGCCACTGCTGCTGACACCCTACACACAATCAAAATGAAAGAGTAACAATATTAACAGTAGCCAGAGATCCTTGAAACAGTCCCAAAGTAGCATGCTAATTTAGCTCATCGGCAGAGTCTTAAAACAGGGTGTTCCTTGGACCCTATGCCCCTCTACCTTAAATAACACTGGAAAATGCCATGTCACCTGCAGGAAGGGATAAGTAGAGACCCCTGAGACCCCTGTGGATGCAATGACATGAGGACCTCAAATTGAGAAGTCTAAGGTTTTTATTTTTATCCACAGACTATTTTTTTTTCTGGCCTGTCATCACATTTGATTTTAATCAGATTTTTTATGGTTTCACTGACTGGCAGGTGACTCCCGTTAATTACATGTTATATTTAGATCCTGTAAGGCTTGGATGATTTCAGTGTCGCAAGTCATGGGCAAGTGGACTAGATCTTACACAGATCTCTCCCTCCCTCCCTCCCTCCCTCCCTCCCTCCCTCCTTCCCTCCCTCCTTCCCTCCCTGTCTCTCCCTCTCTCCCTCTCTGCCTCCCTCCCTCTATCCCACCTTCTCTCTGTTTCTCTCTCTCTCTCTCTCCCTCCTTCTCTTTCTCCCTCCCTCAGTCCCTCTGTCTCTTTCTCTCTCCATCTCTTCCTCTCCCTTCCTTTCTCTGTTTTTCTCTCTCTCCCTTCCTCCCTCTCTCTCTCTCTCTCTCTCTCTCTCTCTCTCTCTCTCTCTCTCTCTCATCTACCCTGCCTCTCCCTCTCTATTCCTTTAAATCTCCTGAGGGGTTTTGGTGGGGGGAGGGTACAACAGAAAGAATCTGTCTTTCTGCAGCTCTGCTGTCCTAGGTGTGAGGGATTTGGGGGTAACCGAGACACACGTTCTACATCCTTAGATACTATTTTCTTTTATTCCTCTTTGAAGAGAATTTATCTCATCGGGTCAGAGTCACATTTCTCACAAAACAGCTGTCTTCCATCAGCCCACAATCTTGAAGAAGGAATAAAATAAAGTTGCTCCCCCCACCCCGTGCTAACACTGTCTGTGCCCTGTGCATACATGCCTCTGGTATTTCTGACCAGACAAGAACAGAAACTAACTCCAATATGGAATATTGGATCTAGGCTTAAAATTTGAAAGGCTCTTTCTCTAAGACGAAGAAAACTTTTGTTTTCTGACCCATAAATCTACAAAGATTTCAACACACACACACACACACACACACACACACACACACACCGTTGCCCAGAAACAGCCCAAAGCCTAAATGTTGAGTGTAGTCCCCTGCACGAGTGTTGTGAACTTTAGAACTTTCAAACGGCCACAGAGAGGAAGGTTATCAGCATCAACACTACCTCTGTGCTGATGCATCACTGAAATCAAAACTGGAACTCTATTTGTGAAGGAGGGAGAGGGAGAAGGCAGATGGAGGACAGGCTCTGAGTGGGTGCTAGACATGACTCACCTCAGGTTGCCCCCATCTGTATGGCTCTACCCTCAGAGATGCATCCCTTTGGGACTTGCTTTCTCCTTATTCTTATCACAAGGTGGTTCCCAGTGCCCCTGATCCCGAGAAGGAGCAGCATTACCTCAGCCATGGTCAGCCTAGGTTTGGTTCGTGTGTGCTTTGGGGCGTTCTGCTGGTGAGAGGTGAGAAGGGAGAGGAGGAAGGAGAAAGGTCCCCTGGGTGGGCTCCTTAGCCTGAGCTACGTCTCCCTCTGCAGAGCCAGGGCTAAGATGAGCATGGGAGCGGAGCGCTAGGCCACCTAGCCTATGCTGTCATTTATGTATAATTCTGCTCCTCATCAAAGAAACAAAAGAACACTAGAAGAGTAGTCAGGGCCCCCTGTAAATGTGTGCCCAGGATTCTGGCATGATAATGGCTTGAATGACTCCACCC